ATTCGTCTAAATTATTTTCGCAAGCTACCCGGAACATATCCCAGTCCGTGTGATCAAAACAATCTTGAAGCGTGGATTCCAATTGGTCAGACCAGCGTTGGATAGTCCTTAGCACGGATACTTCCTGTTTGAGTTTCTGCCTATAGGAAGGGTGGAGCAAAATGGGGTCGTGGTCAGATTTGCCGAAAGGAGGGCGGGGGAGGGCCTTATAACCATCCTGGAAGTTCGAATAGCAATGGTCGAGGATTTTAGCAGCCTGAGTACAACAGTCGATATATTGATAGAACTTCGGCAGCCTAGTACTCAAATTTGCTTTGTTAAAATCCCCGGCTACAATAAATGCAGCCTCAGGATATGTGGTTTCCAGTTTGCATAAAGTCCAGTGAAGTTCTTTGAGGGCCGTCGTGGCATCGGCTTGAGGGGGGATATACACGGCCAAAGAAGATTCTCTTGGGAGATAATACGGTCGACATTTGATTGTGAGGTATTCTAGGTCGGGTGAACAAAAGGACTTGAGTTCCTGTATGTTACTACAATTACACCATGAGTCGTTAATCATGAAACACACACCTCCGCCCTTCTGCTTCCTGAAGAGATATTTATTTCTGTCTGCGCGATGAACTGAGAACCCATCTGGCTGGACCGATTTTCACAGAATATCCCCAGAGAGCCATGTTTCCGTGAAACAAAGTATGTTACAGGCCTTGATGTCTCTCTGGAAAGAAATCCTTGCCCTGAGCTCGTCAACCTTCTTATCCAAAGACTGAACATTAGCGAGTAATATACTTGGAAGCGGTGGGTGGTGTGCGCGCCTCCTAAGTCGAACCAGCAGGCCGCTCCGAGTGCCTCTCCTCCGCCGGCGATGTTTTGGGTCAGCCGCTGGAATCAGTTCAATTGCCCTGGGGAGAGCAAACAAAGGATCTGCTTCGGAAAGTCGTATTCCTGGTCGTAATGCTGGTGAGTTACCGCCGCTCTGATATCCAATCGTTTTTCCCGGCTGTATGTAATGATACAAAACACTTTCTGAGCTAATAATGTAAAAAATAATACATAAAAAAACAAAATACCGCAAAGTTTCCTAAGAGCTAGTCGCGAGGCCGCCATCTTCGTCGGCACCAGGTAACACCCTCTTAGCTTCCCTAAAATCAACCAGATCAGTGGGCAAGGTGAGTTCAGATAGCACAACATCTTCCATTCCCAATCATATTTGCCATAATGTGAGCTTTTAGATAATGGGCCGTTCTTCTAAACGCTGGTGGAGTTGGTCCAGGGAATGATCCTAAATCTATATGGTTATGGGTTTATATTCTCCGCAAACTGGCCATCAATCTAACGGAGAATGAATGCTTCTGCGATGGCCTTAGTTTGGGGAGAGAGAGAGAGAGAGAGAGAGAGAGAGAGAGAGAGAGAGAGAGAGGAAGAGAGACAGAGAGAGAGAGGAAGAGAGAGAGAGGAAGAAGGAGAGAGAGCTTTAACGAGGGCTTCACAGCACGCCAAGATAAAAAGGCTGAAGAAAGTTTAACTCCATTTCAAAGCTGCTCTTTGAATTATTTCGCCTGCTGTTTCTGAGCACAAAGAAAACAGTTCAACCTCTAATCTCAGTGGGACGAAGTTGTATATACAGTATATCCATTAAGTTAAATATGCACTAGCAATCAGTAAATGTACCGTTGTTATAATATTAGTGGCATTCACATGATCTGGATCATACCAGTCAGACATTGGGACAATCTATATTATGCAGATAGAGCTGCTCTATATCATGAATATTACCAATATAGTCATCACAATTTTGGTGACTATATTCGTCAAATTCATGGTATAGAGCAGCTATATCTGCATAATTTAGAAGCCTATTGGCTACTGAACAACATATCATATTAGTGGAATACATGTGACCATCAGCGATACATGACATGCAGCAACTGTATCAATGTCATAGTCAGAGAACATCGGGAGTGTCTGCACGATGTTATTAGAGTATGGTGACTGTCTGGGTTCTATTAATGCCATGCTGGAAGCATGGTGGAACCATAGTCAGTGTGTGGGCTTCTCACCCTAAAGACATTATTAGGAAGACAGTTAATTAAAAAAGACTCACACCTTACTTTTAATTTGACAAGAACACCCTTGCTCCTGCCTACAGTTCTCTCCCCCTTTCTTGTTCTCTATCTTTATCTCTATTTTCTCTCCCTCCCTCCCTCCCTCTCCACAAGGGGGGGCAGACACAGAATTAGCAGATAGACACAGCTTCAGAACAGTCTGCAGCACACATACCAAAGCTGCTACACTACAGGGCCAGACGGATTACCAGGACGTGTACTCCGAGCATGTGCTGACCAACTGGCAAGTGTCTTCACTGACATTTTCAACATGTCCCTGACTGAGTCTGTAATACCAACATGTTTCAAGCAGACCACCATAGTCCCTGTGCCCAAGGACACTAAGATAACCTGCCTAAATGACTACCGACCCGTAGCACTCATGTCTGTAGCCATGAAATGCTTTGAAAGGCTGGTCATGGCTCACATCAACACCATTATCCCAGAAACCCTAGAATCACTCCAATTTGCATACCGCCCCAACAGATCCACAGATGATGCAATCTCTATTGCACTCCACACTGCCCTTTCCCACCTGGACAAGAGGAACACCTACGTGAGAATGCTGTTCATTGACTACAGCTCAGTGTTCAACACCATAGTGCCCTCAAAGCTCATCACTAAGCTAAGGATCCTGGGACTAAACACCTCCTTCTGCAACTGGATCCTGGACTTCCTGACGGGCCGCCCCCAGGTGGTAAGGGTAGGTAACAACACATCTGCCACGCTGATCCTCAACACGGGGGCCCCTCAGGGGTGCGTGCTCAGTGCCCTCCTGTACTCCCTGTTCACCCATGACTGCATGGCCAGGCACGACTCCAACACCATCATTAAGTTTGCTGACGACACAACAGTGATAGGCCTGATCACCGACAATGATGAGACAGCCTATAGGGAGGAGGTCCGAGACCTGGCCGTGTGGTGCCAGGATAACAACCTCTCCCTTAACGTGATCAAGACAAAGGAGATGATTATGGACTACAGGGAAAAAAAAGAGGACTGAGCACGCCCCCATTCTCATCGACGGGGCTGTAGTGGAACAGGTTGAGAGCTTCAAGTTCCTTGGTGTCCACATCACCAACAAACTATCATGGTCCAAACACACCAAGACAGTCGTGAAGAGGGCACAACAAAGCCTATTCCCCCTCAGGAGACTGAAAAGATTTGGCATGGGTCCTCAGATCCTCAAAAAGTTATACAGCTGCACCATCGAGAGCATCCTGACTGGTTCCATCAGCGCCTGGTATTGCAACTGCTCGGCCTCCGACCGCAAGGCACTACAGAGAGTAATGCGTACGGCCCAGCTTCCTGCCATCCAGGACCTCTATACCAGGCGGTGTCAGAGGAAGGCCCTCAAAATTGTCAAAGACTCCAGCCACCCTAGTCATAGACTGTTCTCTCTGCTACCGCACGGCAAGCGGTACCGGAGCGCCAAGTCTAGGTCCAAAAGCCTTCTCAACAGCTTCTACCCCCAAGCCATAAGACTCCTGAACAGCTAATCATTGCTAGACTATTTGCACTGCCCCCCCACCCCCACCCCCCTCTTTTTTACGCTGCTGCTACTCTGTCTATTATTTATGCATAGTCACTTTAACTCTATCCACATGTACATATTACCTCAATTACCTCGACTAGCCGGTGCCCCCGCACATTGACTCTGCACCGGTACCCCCCTGTATATAGCCTCCCTACTGTTATTTTATTTTACTGCTGCTCTTTAGTTATTTGCTTCAATTTCTTTTTACTTAACACTTTTTACAAAAATATGCATTGTTGGTTAAGGGCTTGTAAGTAAGCATTTCACTGTAATGTCTACACCTGTTGTATTCGGCGCATGTGGCAAATAAAATAACATTTGATTTGATTTGATTCTCTGCAGCTCTCTGAATGTATAATAAGGGAATAGCAGGCAGGATTGTTGGCTTAACTGAACCGTGTGTTTCTCGGTCTCTGAGAAAACAAAAACAATTTCAAAAACATCTCAAAGAGCATTTCTCTCCGCCTACGGAAAATCTCCAGAAGTCTGACCACAAACTGGTTTTGGGCTGTGTTTCTCCAAGAGTAAAGAGCAAAATAATCAAATGTATAGAATGATTGTAGAGCACTACCAGGAAACGCCAGAGAATTCCAGGACCTTTCTCCCCACTTTTAATACTTTTAAAATGTTTTGAAAGATACAGGGAAAAGTAAAATACTGGCCTTCTTGTCAACACATATAATTGGACGCTCAGGAAAAGCAGCAAGTCTGTGCTTGTGCGACTTTGTGGCCCCCAATTTTCCTCCCATTGGGCCGATCGCATCCCGTGCTTTAAATTAGGGTAGCAATCACAGTAGCTCAGCAATTATCCCTTTAAGTATATTATAATCACTAATCATTATTTTAAATATAGCTCCTGAATGCCTACTCTGTGACAAGGGTAATTACTTACAGTAATGCTGCCTGGTTCTGTGGTGGTGAGGCTGTTGTTCAACACATACTCACTATTCTAGATTATCTCTAGGGCTCAGGGCTGGCGCGTGGATGGAACAAATGCACATTGTCTTTGTATAACTCTCCTCCAAAAGATCTGCCATCCTACAGCTCAGAGAAAAGTTATTTGCATGTCTGTGTGAGTGGTACGTGTATGTTTGTGCAGGGATGTGAACGTGAGTGTGAAACAACAGAGAGAAAGTGAGACAGGGGAAGTGGGTGGAGGTGAGTTATGGGAGTACAGTGAAAAACAGGATGGCTCCTAACTGCACAAACGGACAGACGGACATAGACTGACATACAGACTGACAGACGAACAGACAGACAGACGGACAGACGGACAGACGGACATAGACTGACAGACGAACAGACGGACAGACAGTCTGACTGACTGATAGGGATCGGGTAATAATATATTGGGTTCCTACAGAGACAGAGGCAGACAGAGGAATAAAGTGGGGATGGTCATCATGTCTGTACTCACTCTGCATACACAGGCCATCGGTGCAGTTCTGGGACTGAAGCACCATGCCCTCACAGTCCTTCCCCCTGTTTTTGGGTGCCGGGGCGCTGCACTCCCTCCTCCTCCAATGGGTACACTCTGTCCCACACGTGGACCATTTACTCCACTCTGTCCACAGGCCATCCACTATCACACAGAGGGGAGGGGGGGGGGGGGGGGGGGGGGGGGTATGGAGGAGGGTGGAAATGAGAGTGTGTGAGATTGGGTGAGTGAATGTGTGACAATTAGTGGGAGAGAAAGAGACGAGGTGGGGGGGGGGGGAGAATGATACACATATCTACAGTATATGTCATCTGTTTGTGACGTCCAGTAGATTGTACTCCCCTGACCCCTAAGCGTTGTGGGGGGTGGCGCAGTATTTACCTGGGCACAGTGGGTTGCATGCCAGCTTCTGAATGCCTTGCCCGTCACAGATGGCGCCGCCGTTGAGCGGTGCTGGGTTGGTGCAGCTCCGCGTACGCTTCTGGTAACCACGGCCACAGCGACTGTTACACACCGTCCACTCTGTCCACGTTGACCAGCCACCATTCACTGTAGGAAAAAAACATTATCATAAAACAAAATGTTTAACACTTTAGCAAATACAATGGTTGTCCTTTTTATAGCTGCATTGAGTGAATCTTGTAGAATTTGAGTATATTCCACCAGGCCCTTTTTTGCTTGAATGAACACAGTGGCATTGAAGAATCTGTAGTACACTAGAGCTTTTTACATGTGGTGTGTTTCCCCCCCTGTAAACCCTAGTCATTAGTTTGCTATGTGGACAGGCTTTTTCTGGCTGCTGTATTTTCCATCTTCTGAATCCCTTCAATCTCTTCTCCTTCCTGCATTCCATCTGTGTCTCAGTCTAAATCCAGAACAGAATGGCAGTGGGGTGTATGGCTGAGAACTCGAATGTGGCATTTGAGATGTTAGGAGCTAGAGGCCCCTCAGAGCTGAAACTGATTGCGATGAGCGAAGCCCCAAGCACCAGACTCCAGGGGAGCAGAGCCAAAGTCCTGCCTTCCTTCACTTTCTCTTTCTTACCTTCTGGGGTTTAGGAGTCGCTCTCTCTCTCTCTCTCTCTCTCTCTCTCTCTCTCTCTCTCTCTCTCTCGCTTTCTGTATCCCTCTTTCTCTTTCCATCTAATCTCTCTGCCTGTCTTCCCCAACCTTTCCAAGTCTTTCCGGCCCTGTGTAGCTCAGTTGGTAGAGCATGGCGCTTGCAACGCCAGGGTTGTGGGTTTGTTTCCCACGGGGGGCCAGTATGAAAATGTATGCATTCACTAACTGTAAGTCGCTCTGGATAAGAGCGTCTGCGAAATGACTAAAATGTAAAACATTTAAGTCTCCTTGTTGTTGTGCAGGCTGGAAAACCACTGGGCTGCTCTGTCTTCTCTGGTAATGAAGAAACTAATCTCAGAACTCTCTCGCTGTCTCTCTCAATCTCTCTCTCACACTCTCTGTCTCAATTCAAAGGGCTTTATTGGCATGGGAAACATATGTTTACATTGCCAAAGCAAGTGAGATAGATAATAAACAAAAGTGAATGAAACAATAAAAAATGCTCTGTCTTCTCTGGTAATGAAGAAACTAATCTCAGATCTCTCTGTCACTGTCTCTCACTCTCTCTCGCTCTCACTCAATTCAATTTCAATTTAAGGGCTTCATTGGCATGGGAAATGTATGTTAACATTGCCAAAGCAAGTGAAGCAGATAGTAAACAAAAGTGAAATAAACAATAAATATTAACAGTAAACATTACACTCAGTTCCAAAAGAATAAAGACATTTCAAATGTCATATTATGTATATATACAGTGTTGTAACGATGTGCAAATAGTTAAAGTACAAATGGGAAAATAAATAAACATAAATATGGGTTGTATTTACAATGGTGTTTGTTCTTCACTGGTTGCCCTTTTCTTGTGGCAACAGGTCACAAATATTGCTGCTGTGATGGCACACTGTGGTATTTCACCCAATAGGTATTTCACTCAAAATTGGATTTGTTTTCAAATTCTTTGTGGGTCTGTGTAATCTGAGGGAAATATGTGTCTCTAATATGGTAATACATTTGGCAGGAGGTTAGGAAGTGCAGCTCAGGTTCCACCTCATTTTGTAGGAAGTGTGCACATAGCCTGTCTTCTCTTGAGAGCCAGGTCTGCCTACGGCAGCCTTTCTCAATAGCAAGGCTATGCTCACTGAGTCTGTGCATAGTCAAAGCTTTCCTTAATTTTGGGTCAGTCACAGTGGTCAGGTATTCTGCCACTGTGTACTCTTTGTTTAGGGCCAAATAGCATTCTATTCTCTCTCTGTTTCTAGTTTCTCCCTCTGTCTCTCTCTGTTTCTCTTTCATCACTATTGTAAGAATGAACAACTTTTCTTTTGAGTTTCTTAGACTAGTGATTGTGAGTGTGAGTGTGTGTGTGTGTGTGGACAAGGTTAACTGTACAATACTGTGTGTGTGTGCGTGTGTGTGTGTGTGCGTGTGTGCCTGCATACAGTGAAAGGGGGACTGACACAACCCAGGCAGAGAAAGTTGCTTCTGGTGCATTCTTTTAAGGATGAGCCGAGACATCAAAGCTGTTTTCAGGCTATCGCTCAGTCCTCCCAGACTGCATTAGTGGAGGGAAAAACCTAGCAGGGATAGCGACCCCAGTCCCTGAAGACCCCAAAGTCGGCTGAAACACACACACACACACACACACACACACACACACACTCTCTCTCTGTTGCTCTACTTCACCTTCATACTGGACTCATCTAAGCCACACATACTGCTCTCCCCTGTCAGAACGGACAACTAAAATAGATAAATAAACAAATAGGACACTAACAATAATTTAGGCCCCCCTAATCCCCCATAATCCTCCATGGCAGAGCCAGTGTGTGTGTGATTTAGGGAGGATGTGCTGAGCTGGGAGACACTGGAGGGATGGAGGGAGAGCTGGATTTGAAACCTGACCCTGCAAACCTCTGCCCATTCTGGTCTGGATTTCTGATTGTGTGTGGTTGCGTGTGTGTCTGTGTGTTTGTGTATGCGCGTGCGTGTGTCTGTGTGTGTGTGTGTTGTGTGTGTGTGTCCACTCACACACACATGTGTGTTTGTACGTAGGGGGTTAAGGCTATAAATGGCCTCATATGTCTGTTAGCTAATTATTTGCTAGACTGACAGACTGATGACTGACTTAATAACTTGAGGTTTAGCCTTCTTACATGGTGGGTGGGTAGGAACGTTTGTTGAGAATCTGTTTCTGTTTTGACTCTTCCCCACTAGCAGGTGTTGAAGCTTAACTTCTGTGTCACAGTGTTGAGGTGGTGTGTTTTAGGAGAGTGTGTGTGTGTGTGTGTGTGTGTGTGTGTGTGTGTGTGTGTGTGTGTGTGTGTGTGTGTGTGTGTGTGTCTGTGTGTGTGTCTGTGTGTGTGTGTGAGTGATGTTTCAGGGGAGTGTGTGTAAAAGCATAGCAGGGGTCCTCCTTAAATACAGCTCTGATACAGAGAATAAAAGCCCCAAACTCCCTGATACACCTTCAGGCTGGATCAAGGTGGAGGAATGTTGCAGAGACAGGCAGAGAATAAGGTATTCTTTATTGTGTACATTTATTATGTAAATCTATACTAGAATTGACACATTCTACTTTGTCTAGTAGGCCTACATGATTTCAATATTGAATTATGGATTTTATTATTGCATCAGAAGGTGTAAGATATGATGCATATTGTATTGTTTATTTTAGGGTGAGAACGACCAAATATGACAGGGTACTCTGATTTAGTATGCTGTTACAGCTGCCATGTTTGGGTCTGACTTGATCGTTACCATAGACGATGACAGTTGCCGTGGTGCTCCGTCTCTTAGCGACGATGTTCTTGGCGACACATGTGTAGTTAGCTGTGTCAGATAGTCTGGCCTGTTTGATGATCAGGTTATGGTCGATGGTAATGTAGAAGTTACGATCATCAGCAGGGTCTATGATCTCCTCATTCTTCAGCCACTCCACCTGGGAGGGAGGGAGGGAGGGAGGGAGGGAGGGAGGGAGGGAGGGAGGGAGGGAGGGAGGGAGGGAGGGAAGGCAAGAAAGAAAAACAAAGAGACAGAGAGGAAAAAAGAAAGAGAAAAATAGACAGAGAGAGAGAGAGAGACCATTAGCAATGTTCCTCAGTGTGGAACAGTACACATCAAAACGAGTCGGTAAGAGCAGACATGAAACTGGGACGGCACGGCACTCAGACACGTTAACCTGATTTCTTCTGGAATAAATCACAGGGAAGTGTTTCCAGGGTTTAAACACACCTTTCTTCTCTTTGTCTTCCATTCACCTCTCCAATAAAGCTCAACTTCAAGATTACAGCAACACTGTTCATGTCTCAGAGGCCTGTGCTTTCTATAAAAAGTCAATAGCTATCATGTTCCCTTTTTATTTCCCCATAACAGGACAAAGTAATACTGTATTGTCAGACAGTGAGAGGGAAGGAAATTCACTGTTATTCCTGGAACTGAAAGCACCTTTCCTTATTAGTTTCCGTTTTTCCAAATGATCCAGATATTGAACTCCTGGTAATAACGGAGAACAGGGCGCTTTATTTGACCGTAAATCACATAAACACTTTTCTTCACCTCCTCCGCCTCGGGTGTGAAGGCTGGGCCTCAGGCAGAGTCCGGTCTGCTCTACACAGACAGACAAAGGCAGACAAACTCATACGTTTCAAAGACTTCTTCAAACTTTTCCTTTGAGTCCTCTAACTCTGTTTTCTCTAGAGAAAAGACATCCTGTGTGTAGTCTAATAGTCAGAGAATACATTAAGATGAGAGAGAGAGAGAGAGAGAGAGAGAGAGAGAGAGAGAGAGAGAGAGAGAGAGAGAGTTGAACAGAACAGGAGACATCCTGTGCATTGTCCTACTTCCTGAGGAGCAGAAGATGCTAGATAAGGCAGAGCAGGGCTTAGGAGATAAGAAGTCTGTTTTGTTGGCCATTATTTAAAAAATTATGGGAAGACACATGATCTACACCTAAAAAAACTGAAGCAACTCCCATATAAACCCTGCCAAGACTAAATCATCTGGGGCTGCTGGTCTTACGTGACTTTAGTCAAATGACTGGACAGATAGCCAAGTGGCTGTTGTAAGAATAGGTGGGTGTACTGTAGTTTTCAAGTGATAAGACCTGTGTTTTCCTTGCTATTATTATAAAACTAGCATCATGATGACTGTCCCACAAAATAAGATGGACAGATTGTGACAGGTGTGGGTTAGAAGCTTCACTTCCATCACTAGTAGACTATCTGCAGTGTCTGAAGATGACAGATATCACGACTACACCATCAGAGAGCGTCATGCTTGGCTGGAGACGCCTGCCTGCCTGCCTGTACACCCCTATCCTGGAACAACACTTCAGAGAGACTAAAGGTTGAGCCACTTTCAACACGCAGCAATTAACTCCACCTTAAAACACCCACTCAAACTGAACACATCCATCATAAACATAATACTCTCCACAGACACAGATTTTGAGTGCTGGTGACAGATTCACATCAGAAGAAAATGGAAAAACAATCAGCTCAGTGGTAAACATCTGTATGCTCAGTGTTGTATATCTCCACTTATATGGGGCTTATGAGTGTTTTCCTCTGTAACAGTTATCAGGTAAATCAATCGCATGGAGCAGCGCCGAGCTGAGCGGCAGGCACTCTGGATAGGGTTCCCTCCCCTGCTGTCTGGCTAGTCAGTGAAATTAAGCCCATGCTCTCCTAATCCACAACAACACAACAATGCAATAACCCCCTCTCATCTCATTTAATCAAATCTCCTTTCAACTAATCTCATCTCCTTTCATTTAATCTAATCTCCTTTCAACTCATCTCATCTCCTTTCATCTCATCTAATCTCCTTTAATCTCATCTAATCTCCTTTAAACTCATCTAATCTCCTTTCATCTAATCTAATCTCCTTTCATCTAATCTCATCTCATCTCATTTTATCTCATCTCATCTCATCTCATCTTATCTCCAGTCCTAATGCAGAGGAGATGAAGACCTCCTGTGTTTTGTCTCTTCATCTCCTGTTAGATATCATCTCATATCATTCATCATTTGATGCCAGAGCACAGAAAACAGCAAACAAAGACAACACAAATCACCTGTCATCTCCTCTCGTCTCTCCTACAGAAGGAAAAGCTGTAGTTTTAACCCTGAGATAATGAGATTTCACTGATGACTATATGTCTGATGAGAGTCACTTCTCTGGATGAAGGAAGGATCTAAACGTCTTAGTATCTTTGTCAGAGTGTCCTTCTGACACCTGTCCTGTTGTGACTTCATCAGTTAGTTATAAGGAAAATACATGATTGAGGGTGTGGAACTCTGGCTACAAAGATCTGATCCCAACAGGGTTTCATCCAAACAAGGTGAAACTAATACACCGTAAATTGTTTTACAACACATTCTGTATAGACGCCTGTCATCCAGTATGCATACCAATCGAGGTAAAGGTCTTGTGAGTATCAACGTGATGTGCATTAAATCCATTGTAAAAAAAAGTAACCAACATAATGATAGCAAAGAGCGATGATCATAAAACTCCACCAACGTAAATCAATAAGGACTACATATAAATCCATGGGGCGGGAGGTGAGTACAAGTGATTATACGCATCACTACATTTACTGAGGCAAACAAGCAAACAACACACACAAACAGGACATGTGTGTGTGTGTGTTTAGCACAGCTAAGTGGTAGTGGGATGCTGATTGGCCTGGTCTTTGCCTGCTGGGACAGTGGTTATTCTGTTTTGACCCTTGTTCTGCTGGAGCTGTGTGTGTATGGTCGTCCCTCTGTGGGCCAGGGGAATACACACCCACCTTGCCTCACACTAAAGGGAACAAGCCATTCAGAACCTTACCTAGTCTTAAATAGGGAATGAGGCTGACAAGCCAGGCCGATCACATCACATGTGAAGATTGCCTATGAATATGAATCTGATGTGTTTAAAACAGAAACAAAAGTCTGACTGTTGTATTATGATCACCATTTTGGGCCTGTTCTCTCTTTATTCTGATGGAGTGACAACAGGTTTGGAACAAAGCTCCCAATAAAACTAATGAAGATGAAAATAAAAAGAAAGACATGATGGAGTTCACAGACATGATGGAGTTCACAGACATGATGGAGTTCACAGACATGATGGAGATCACAGACATGTTGGAGTTCACAGACATGATGGAGTTCACAGACTGTCACACCCTGGCTCTGGGACTCTATATGTTGAGCCAGGGTGTGTTCATTCTGTTGTGTTTATTTCTATGTTGGCTAGAGTGACTCCCAATCAGAGGCAACGAGTGTCAGCTGTCGTTGGTTGTCTCTGATTGGGAGCCATATTTAAACTGTCTGTTTTCCCTTTGTGTTTGTGGGTTTTTGTTCCGTGTTGGTCATTGTTACCGTGGACTTCACGAGTCGTTTCTTGTTTTGTTTATTGTTGTCTATTATCACTAAAGATAATAAAGTTAAACATGTTCGTTCATCACGCTGCGCCTTGGTCTATTCCCTACGACGATCGTGACAGAAAAACCCACCAAACAAGGACCAAGCAGCGTGTCCAGGAGCAGGCAGCCTGGACATGGGAGGAGATATTGGACGGGAAAGGATCCTGGACTTGGAAGGAGATACAGGCCGGGATGGATCGGCGTCCGTGGGAAGAGACGGTGGAGGCGCGCCGTAGAGAGGAGCAGCGGCGCCAAACGGGTCAACGTCGGACAGGCGAGAGGCAACCCCAGACATTTTTTAGGGGGGGGCACACGGCATGGACGACGGGGCTGACGGAGGCAGAAAAGGGGCGGATTCAGAAGGCCACCAGGTTACAGGTACACCGCCCTGTACGTCCTGTGCGGATGCCTCACACAGAGTGTGTGAGGGTAGGCATTCAGCCAGGACGGGTGGTGGCCGCTCTTCACTCCAGGTCTCCTATCCGTCTCCACAGCCCGGTTCGGCCTGTCCCTGCTCCACGCACCAAGCCTACGGTGTGCGTCGCCAGCCCAGTCCGGCCTGTCCCTGCTCCACGCACCAAGCCTACGGTGTGCGTCGCCAGCCCGGTCCGGCCTGTCCCTGCCACTCGCACCAAGTCTACGGTGCGCGTCGCCAGCCCGGCCCGGCCTGTTCCTGCCACTCGCACCAAGTATACGGTGCGCGTCGCCAGCCCGGCCCGGCCTGTTCCTGCCACTCGCACCAAGTATACGGTGCGCGTCGCCAGCCCGGCCCGGCCTGTTCCTGCCACTCGCACCAAGTCTACGGTGCGCGTCGCCAGCCCGGCCCGGCCTGTTCCTGCCACTCGCACCAAGTATACGGTGCGCGTCGCCAGCCCGGCCCGGCCTGTTCCTGCCACTCGCACCAAGTCTACGGTGCGCGTCGCCAGCCCGGCCCGGCCTGTTCCTGCCACTCGCACTAAGCCAGGGGTGCGAGTCGTAAGCCTGGTAAGGCCCGTTCCTCCTCCACGCACCAAGCCAGGGGTGCGAGTCGTCAGCCTGGTAAGGCCCGTTCCTCCTCCACGCACCAGGCCAGGGGTGCGAGTCGTCAGCCTCGTAAGGCCCGTTCCCCCTCCACGCACCAAGCCAGGGGTGCGAGTCGTCAGCCTGGTAAGGCACGTTCCTCCTCCACGCACCAGGCCAGGGGTGCGCGTCGTCAGCCTGGTAAGGCCCGTTCCTCCTCCACGCACTAAGCCCGGGGTGCGCGTCGTCAGTCCAGCACAACCCGTGCCTGGGCCACCGGTGCCTGGGAAGGTACCGGTCAACTGCTCCACTATGGAGCTGAAGCTAACCGCTCCTGCTAAGTCCAGTTCAGCTCCAGCCAGCGGGGCCAGACTGGACCAGGGGCGCTATGGGGGGTTTATTGGAGGGTGGGTGGCAAGGCCGGAGCCAGAACCGCCGCCGAGGAGGTATGCCCACCCAGCCCTCCCCTGTTTTGTTCAAGTTGAGGCGCGGTCGCAGTCCGCGCCTTTAGGGGGGGGTACTGT